CATTTATCCTTAGTCCCATTGTTGATAACTCCTCGTTAGCCGACATCCCTATTCTTGACTATCATTCTGTGATTGACGCAGGATCCATATTGAGTGGCTCAAGCAACCAAAGGATATATCACATGCTCCTTATAAATGCCAGATCTGTTAGACATAAGATACATCTCCTAGGCCCGTTCATCACTCTGTCCAACCCACAGATAGCATTGATAACCGAAAGGTGGCACGCGGCCGATTTCGCCGCCACAACTCTGCTTATTCCTGGTTACAAGACGTGATCAACATCGGAGAGGTGGCTGTCTCATTTATGTCAGTAATGAGTTGGAAATCCTTTTTCATGTACTTTCCATTGGTAACCCTAAGGATTCAATTTGGGTCCAGGCGGTTGGCGGACAGCTCGACCTTTTTATTGACTGTATCTATAGCCGCCCACACATCTCCAGTGCCGATGTCGCTACACTAGCCAAACTATTTACTGAAGTATCCCTAATAACTTCACGCGATAAGATTATAGATGGGGACTTGAAAATGCCACACAATCAATCAGCACCGCCCCGATACCGGAAATTTGTTGACACTACCTTAGGCTATGGTTGGACACAACACGTATATTTGCCAACCAGAAAATTCAACATCCTCGGTCTAATCTTTACCAATGGCATCTGCGACGCTCGCTCCAGAGTGCCTGATCACAAAGCGGTGAAGCTATCGTTCAAATTGCTCGAGATGGACTACTGTAAGACTACAAGCTGCATTCACCCGTCCACACCATCGCATTAACTGGGAGGTTTTCTTTTTACTCCTTTGATCAGCAAACTGGGACTCCTTTTTTCCGGCTACTGATGCTGATATCGCAGAGCAATTTTCCACCCCGCAGGATGATTTTTTATAAACATTCAGATTTGGTGTAGATTCTTCTTGCTTTAATTCCTGGTAAATCGATTATTGATGTTGATTCGCGAGGAATAAGTTATCACAAGTTATCATGGTATTGATTGCAGAAAAGAAACAGTAGGTGATCAAAACAGTGGGTTTTTAGGAAGTATCCTCAAAAGTATGTGGAAATAAATCCTTGAAAGAGAAAAATGAGGAGCACGGTCAAATCTGAAGTCCCAGCAAGAGCACAGAACATAACATGAGATTGAAAATGAAAGTGGAAGTGATTGCTGAAATGCTAGAATTCATGGATTTTAAGGTAGTTGCGGATTCAGGAGGAATCAAAATTGCTCCAAACATTTGGTGAAAGCTAGAGCTAATTGGCGTATGCACACTTAATGAAATCTTTCTTTTTTGCACATTCAAGTAAAGCAGCATGGGGTCAACGTGAAGAGTATTGGAGTTCGAGGACAGCAATTATCGGGGGCCATCGATACCATCGACTTGAAAGCAGGAAAACTGTTCAAAGCCCAGAAAAAAGCGTTAGAGCTTCTCATAGAAAAGTCTTTTACGCAAGACGATAGCCAGCTGGTTGGCTTGCTGAACTAACACTTCGTCGTGTCACCTAGGTGGCGCGGGTTTACTCTGCTTCAGTGAAGTGTTCGCCGCAGTGAATTTTCGCCCAGAAAGCGTTCACCCTATAAAAAGCCACAAATTTCTGTTTGAAAACAACGCGACGTGAAGGATGTCATTCGCTACAAAACAAAGTCAATGCACCTTGCTTCACCACGGTGGAGCACTGTACCCCAGCAAGTGCGTGCTGACATTATGGGGGAGGATTAAGCCATCGCTTGGTGTCTCAACAAACAAAAAGTGAGCATTCAGTCACCAACTCCTATTAATCGGACTGCACTCAGCACAATAACGCACAGAGAAAGTCACCTCGTTTGGTGATAAAAGGTTTGCAAACCAAGTGCCAACTCGGCGAGCACGTGGAACCCTGAAAGTTCGAAACCGGTAGTGAAAGTAAGCCAGTATTTTGCAGAGGACCTTACATCCATCCCTAAATAATATAGGCTCAAGGGAATCCAGACAAACAGCTCGAAAACGACTGATGGCTATGATCGCGTTTCGGACTTAAGCCTCCGATGGAGCATTTAAGCTAACTGACTATGGACAAGCCTGCATCATTTGAGTAGGAAGAGACCCAGGAGCAAGGGGTCAACTGAAACGCTCTCGAAAGTGCTTCGCCTAACGAGCTAGATGCGTTTCGTAATATGAGTTGGTGAACTGGTGCTGGTCTTGTTTGTCCCACTGGCGTAGAAGTTCCTGGGACCAGTGGCGCGAATCAGCAGGAACACAGCTGCAATTGACAACTGCTCCTCGCTTCCTTCACGTTGTGAGTCCAGTAGGCTTTCATGTCAGCACACAAACTCCGTTTTAGTTAGCGTCTAAGCATCCGTTTGATAACACTGGGTTGAGGCAGCAGGGAGTTTCTTACTGGATTTTCAGCGCTTCACATAGCCCTCGGGTATCTGGTGTCTGATGTGATGATGGCTGGTAGTGTTGCCGTCAGAGGCTCATGGGTAGTGTATCACGGCCTAAAAACTATTCCACTGAAAATCTTTGAATTGGTTTTCATGATTGAAGTTTGAGACAAATTCGCAGTTGCCAGTTGAGCGAACTGTTTATTACGGGTCCAGGAGAAATCCGTGACAAATCAGCAGCACACAACGGAATGATTAGAGCTCGCATATATAGTTCAGTGGGAGCACCAGTATAAGATGGAACTGCGTGGCCTGAAGCTTTTGGTGATGTGGTCTAGTTGCGTCCATCGCTGGCCAGCCATTGGAGGATGCGAAGTGACGTATCGGCCTCCAATGTGCATGAAGGACGTGCCGCTAAGATACAGCAGATACTCAGTGGGTAGCTGCAACAAACGTCCGCCACTGTCTGTGCGTTCAGAGTTGAACCCAAACTTAGCACTTAACTGAGATCCTGTGGAGGTCAGACGAAACTCGCGCAACTGGGTACCATGCAACGAGAATCATCATCAACAGGTTTAAACAGGCCATTTGGACTGGTGCTTCGCTGCCGTACAACCACAATGACACAAGGAACAAAGAACAATCAGATGAGGAGGACCTGGACTAGAATCTTAATGCCCTAAGCAAACATTGAGGGTCAAGTCGCCTACACCTTGTGTAGACAACATACCGTCACAAACAGCTGGCTATCGTGCAATGATAAGGCGGTATCGAAGAGACAGCTTCCTCGTGACTTTCATTGCCCCGCTTCATAACAAGATATTACGTCGCAAATAACTCTGCACCAAACACATGTTAAACATGCAGTCCGACTAGGAGATGACAGCAGACACGCCACTTGGGCCGATTGAGAGCCATGTCCTGTACTGTCTAGACAATACAAAGTCGGGTCACGTGGACTCCAGCCCCGGAAAGCAAGGAGAACCGAGGCACCCAGTTTGGTCATCAGTGACTTCATCTCTAGCTGTCGAGATAATTTTTGCCCATCTCGGGCCTTGTGTCATCCTACATCTAGAAAAATAAACAACGCTCTCCTCGGTAAGCGGTGGCCAGGCGCATGCGTGTGTCCAAGCCAACGCAACTTATTCAGTGCTATCTGTTGTTCTAAGGAAGTAGCATTATCACTGCCTAGTACTGACCAACGCACATCACCGTTGCGGACACGCTGCTGCCATCCGACACCAGCAATGCTTCGTAGACAACGATGATCGAAGACCTGAAGTCGCCGCAGGTCCTCAAATCGGAGGAGTCAAGTCTTATTCCCATAAAGTAGGATGACCCATACTATGGTCATGTATACACTGACTGCCAGACCGAGGGAAACCCCATTCCGACGCCACATACGTCGCAGATTCATAAAGACAGTTCTAGCCCTTGCAATACGCAATCTAACTTCAGCCGTCATCCACCTATCGTTGCTGATACAGCTGCCAAAGTAGATGAAATGATCAAATACCTCGCCATCAAGAGCAAATAGGTCATCAAGTGGCTGGTGGTCCAGTAACAGCACTTTGCAATTTGAGAGGATATTCAGGGTTGATCGCACCGCTCTAACATCGTGTAAAGGACATTATCGTCTGCATAACCAAGATCAACAAGCCGTTTACAAGGCAGCAACTCAAAGCATGCATCATGAGGCTCCGCAAGGAAACTCTCTCACATTCAGTCCACGACGAAGTTGAACAAAAACGGGGGGATTGGACAACCCTGACGAACGCTACTTGTTGTCGGAAAGATATCCGATAAGTCACCGTAGATCCTGACGCGCCCCGTTGCGTTCGAGTACAGGGGAGGTAAAATTTTCACATATTTCATGGGATACCCTTGAGCGAAAGTATTTCGAACAGAATGTATCGGATGACTAAGTCGGACGCATCCTTGAAGTCCAGGAATACAGCTACTGTCGGTCTGCGGTATACGTGGCGCTGCTCTGGCACTTGCCGCAAAGTAAATGTGGTCTACACAGTTTCGTTCTGGGCGGGGATTTTCGCTCGGTAATAAAGCAACGGACGAGAATTGAGGTCAGGAATTTTGTCACAACTGGCACTAAACTAATACCCCTGTAGTTAGCAAGTCACCATGGTTGTACATGGGTTGTGATACCGCCATGATGCCCAAACCAGGACAAGAGAACATCTATTGTCCTCAACCAGAGCCTTCGGCTCAAATTCTGACCACATGGCAGCGGGGACATGACAAAGAGCCGGTTTTACAGAAATGGACGGCATCCCATTTTCAACCAAAACCAGAACGTCCAGGAGACTGACTTCACTTAACCTCTAACTACTGAGCAATCTGGTAGGAATAGCACTCAAGGGGTAAGGAGGTATCACTTACTACAGCTTAAGGGGTTGAAGAGGTACACAAACCGTAGCAACAGGTTAAGGTCCAGTCTCGTCGCGACGGAATGGGGATGGCTGCATGTCCTCATAATTCTAGATATTAGGTGACCAATAAAGAGTACATAGGGGTGATATACATTGAAATAGCTCAAAACTAGCGGCGTTGTGGGAGTGAATACACCTCGGGTGCCAGGACCATAAATACAGGGACACTTGTACAACTGAAGGCACTCACCAAGATATATGCATGGTAGGTTATTCTCTTTGGCGATCTCTTGAGCGCGTAAATGCTTCTTAACTGTGATTGGATAGTAGCTGCCAGCCTTGACTGTGGGATCATTTACTACAAGCATGCACTCAACGCTGTGAACATAAAGGAACAGTAGACAAGGAAGAGAAAACGTACCCGTTCACGCGACCGATGCCAGTGAGAATACCACCTGCAGGAACTACTTCCGACGGTCCATAAAGCTGATATCCAGCAAACTGCGACAACTCGAGAAATGGAGTACTGTGGCAGACAGATGAACATGGTCCGACAGGAGTTACGTTACTTCGGATCTAAAAGTTTGTCTATACGATCTCTTGGCAGCAATTTCCCGCGACTAACGTGAAGCTCCCGCATTTTCTCTGAACCACCTTAACGAGAGGAAAGATGAGGTGATAAAAACAAACCTCACCTACGAACGGTGATCACTTGCAGGATAAAAAATCGAGTGATCATTCAGAAACATCACAGTGAAATGCATTCGCGCGGGCATTAGGTATCTTGTAGAAATAAATGAAATCGCTTGAATGTAAAATTGTATGATGATGTATTTGAATGTACTGTCGCATCTGGAAGTCCAGTGCAGGAGTAAACAAGCTAGCCTGATGGAACATCTTGAAGTACACTTCTGCCAGAAGCTTGCGTTTTCTCGAATGCAAATCAGCGGAGCAAGTGAATTGCGTTCACTCAACCAGCTGCGCCGAAAACCCGAACGAGCTGAGCCCAAGGTCAACCCGGCTTACGCCTAACGCACCGGAAGAATATCGATCAACAGACCAGCATTGCCTTGAAAGCAGGCAGGCCGTGCAGTGTGAATTCTTTCCCCCGCGTTGGTTCACGTTCTGTTCCCATAGTAAACTCCGATTTTTCGTGTACTCGCCCCGCTTGTTCTTTATTGTTGGGGATTGGCTAACGCTCTACTCTAGCAGTGCCCGACACAACAGTTTCTGAAATCATTTGCCTGGTCGATTTACAATAATGGTTAAGTACACTAGATAGGGGATCAAAAGAACTTACGTATCAAGTTTACTCCTAGCTCTATGGAGTAACGACGCTACGTCGATTGGGGAAATGGTAAAAAAACAGCAGTTACATATTATAACTTCGTGGTGGTAAATGACCGTATGTGAGATGGGACACAGCCATGGTAGCTAAATTCGGGCGGAACATCTACCTACTATACTGAGTTTGTTGGATACAAAAACGTGGCAGCCTGATATCCAGGAAGTCACGAATAAAAAGCAAGTGTCAGGTTATAGCGATTTGATGAGATCTGTGAAGTGCGTCCTAAATGCGCTGAGTCAACAACCTTCGCGTCGTCGCTTTCCACTATGTGCTTAATCCCGATCTCAAGCCAAGCACATGTGATTTGACGTACAGAAAACAAGAATCCCATTCAGTATCATTTTGGATGGACGCATACAGTGACCACGATTTCCTCCACAACGGTCTAATAAGGTCAGTATTTCATAACATTCGCCTTGATCGGTACACCGACAGAAAGAGCGCTGAATTGCGATCGAAATGTTGAAACTGTAAAACGGTATGTTAGTTAGAATTTGTATAATGTCGTGGTGTGCTCTGCCATGAATGCAGTCGATCAGCGCTACGTTTCGTCCGCCACTACTCCGTGACCTACTTGCTATTAGTCAAATGTTGTCCAGCACTGTTGCCATGCAGACATAACGCAAATCCCAGCGATCCAAAGTGAACGTAACGCAAGCATAAGCCAATCCTCTGTCGACAACGATTGTTAGCCCGTAGCAGTGAACGACATACTGATGCAATCCAGTCGACGATGATGGTTAGGAGCACATGCTAACGAACTGATCAGTGAAAAAGGGATCTAAGTCCTACCTTTTTCCAGAAATTGAGAAAGATAATCGTACTGGTTAATCAAAAGAATGCTCTCACAAAATCTAATACAATTATTGGTAAGTAAAGAAGGAGCGAACAGAGAACGTTCAGAAAGGTCGCAACAAACATATAAATATCTGTACTCTGCACCTCCAGGTGCTCAGTGATTCGCTACTGCCCCCCTTAAGCCAGTTAGTCCCTGGCCAAATTGGTGCAAACTCGCAAAAACCCCACCTGCGTCTGGTCGTGGTCGCAGGTGCGTATCTTACTAAAGTCGCAAAACACATATGAATCGTTCCAGTAACTCAGGCTGCGCGTGACGGACCTCAAGCAGATCCCAATCTGTCCCTGCAATCACATTCCAGAGCTAAATCTGCTCCCCACTGTCTTGTGAGTCAGGCTACTAAGTCAAATGCTTAGGGCGGAATCTCTCAAGCAAAGCTCCAAACCACCCATTGCATTGTGGGTCAGGCTATTGAGCCAAAGGTTCCGCGTGGAGTCCATCAAGCAAACCTCCGAAGCACAACCGCCACTTCGCGTGCGATTGCCAACCAATGCAATGGTATGCCTGCGCGCAAAGCACTCAGCATCGGGTGCTGGAACGTGCGCACACTACTGGACCGGAACTCGAGTGAGTGCCCTGAGCGACGCACTGCACTCGTCGCGATGGAACTGGCGCGCTACCAAATCGATATTGCGGGGCTCAGTGAGACTCGGATCGCTCAGCAAGGTAAGTTGCATGAAGCAGGTACTGGCTATACGTTCTATTGGGTGGGCAACGCCACCACAGCATCAGGTGAACATGGGGTCGGATTTGCAAGATCCGATCGCCTCCATGGCCAGCTCGCGGGTGAACCAAAAGGCATCAGCTTGCGATTGATGACTGTTCGCCTACGACTCGGAAGAGGTAAGTTTGCCACTTTTATAAGCACGTACGGTCCGACCATGTGTTGTCCTGATGACAAGCGCGATCAATCCTACACTGAGCTATCCTCCGTGATACGGTCTGTGCCGAGGGGCGACCGACTATCTCTGCTGGGTGAGTTCAACGCGTGCGTTGGGCGTGATGCATCGGTGTTGACAGACGTCGTCGGTCCGCATGGCATTGGTTCAGCGAATGCGAACGGTGACGGGCCACTCTCAATGTGTGCCACTCACGGCCTGACGATCACGAACACTCGGTTTGCACTGAGTGCGAGTGATATAGCAACCTGGACGCATCCACGGAGTGGTCACGCTCACCTGCTCGACTATGTCATCGTACGTCAGCGTGATATTCGTGAAGTGCGCATGACACGTGTACTGCGTGGAGGTGAGTTTGACACTTATCACAAATTAGTGCGGACCAAACTGTATATAAATGTTCGTAAAACTATGTATTGCACTCCCGCCGTGAACCGGCGTAAATCTAACATTCTCTCCCTCGGTACTATGGAGAAACGTACTGAGCTAGAGAAGGTGATGGCTGCACGCCTGTGTGATGTGGAATGCATAGCTACAGTGGGCGACCTGTGGCACAAAATTCGCGACTAAGTGACAGCTTCTGCCGAGGGGACCATCAGGCGCGCAAACTGTAAGCGGCCTGATTGGTTTGATGAGAACAATGCGACGATTAGCGCATTGGTGTCGGAGAAGAATGCATCAGTTGCTGCACACGTGGCAGACCCCAGTGACTTAGAGAAGAAGTGAAAGTTTGGGCGAATTCGACGACGACTGACCCAAGAGCTTCGTCGCATTAAAAATGCATGGTGAACGGAGAAGGCGAAGCAGACATAATGATACAGCGAACGCCACCAACACAAGGAATTCTTTGACTCCTTGAAGGCAGTGTATGGGCCGAGATTGGAGCCGTTGAGGACACTGATCGATGGTAGTTCGGGCGCTACCTGCACACAGACGGCAGAATATGCAGACCTCACAAAAACACTATGATTGTCTCATGAACAACCGCTAAGAGATTGACTGGCCTACTTTAAACGGCCTGAAGCAGCACGATGTGAAGGCGTCTGGCGGACACGCCGACACTAGTTGAGACGCAGAGGACATTTGCGCGGCTGCGAAACGGCAAGTGTGCCTGTACCGACGGGATCCCGTCTGAAGTATTGAAACACGGTGGACCCGTGTTGGTGAATGCGCTGCACCACTTGGTGCAATGTGTGCGGATTGAGAAGAAGATGTCTCCTGAGCTGAAGAATGCCCTTGTGCTACCACTGTACAAAGTCAAAGGAGGCAAGCAATGTGCCACGAATTATCGTGGTATCAACTTGCTGAGTTGTGCGGTCAAGATGATTGCCCGAATCCTGCTCAACCGGCTCGTTACTCAGGTTGTGGAACCGAAGGTAGCGAAAGAGCAATGTGGATTCCGCTCGGGTCGCAGCACTATAGATATGGTGTTTGCGGCTCGTCAGTTGCAGGGGAAGTACAGAGAACGACACCAGCCTTTCTATACGCTGTTTGTTGATTTCACCAAGGCATTTGGTACGGTGAACCGCGAAACATTGTGGCTGCTGTTGGGTAAGTTTGGTTGCCCGCGTAAGTTTGTAAGTTTAATTCAATGTCTGCACTGTGGTATGCGGGCGAGTGCAGCTGAATGGACAGACCTC